CATAGTATATGTGTATGTGTTTTTGACATTTATGAGATACTTAGACATTCGGTTTTATAATTTAGATTTAGTAACCCGAACGGCGTAAAATATGTTTATTCTTATTTCATCATTAAAACACTATAATGAGGTCAATTTTGTATGTAAAAGTGGCTCTTATTTTTTCAATTTTTCTAAAACACATCCCACAAAATTCTTACTCATTAATTCTATATTTTATTAATATTATAACAGGCGAAAATAAAATTGATTGTAAATGTGCTTTATATCGTATCTTCTTTTTGCCTGTGCAATTTTAGGGGAAATAAATCTAAATTACAACCGTTCGTGCAACGGTTACTTGCAACGGTTGCTTGAAAGCATAGTCGAGTTCACACCATATTGTTTGCTATAAATACGAAAAATATCCACGTCGTACTAGATTTACTACCGGACCAATCGTAGTACGAACTGTGATACGTCATTAAACTTTTGAAAATAATTGATGTATACAATTACTGTCAACGTATGTTTTATGAATCATAATCAAAAGTATCTAGAGGATTTTTAGCTGCACTTTAGTATTAATTTCACGGGATATTTTCTTATAAACAGCAAACAATATTGTGTGTACTCTATTATGCTTTCAAGCAATAGTTGCACGGACGGTTTGTAATTTAGATTTTTTCCCCTGAAGTTGCAAGTAACCGTTGCACGAACGATTTGTAATTTAGATTTGTGTCCCCTGAAATTGCAAGGGCAAAAAGAAGCTCGGAAAAAACCCTTCTGTAATTATCGAAATATATTACTAAAATGATATTAACTAATTTCAAAATCATGCAAGAACTATTTTGAGAAATCAACACAATTTTGACATGTTAACTTGCATAACTAACATCAGTAACATTACGATTACACGTGTTAAAGAAAAACGTTCATAGACTGTATTTTAATTATTCCAAATTCTGTTTATACATAAGAAAATATTCTTCTATTTTTTTTTTTTAGATATAAACAAAACATAAACAATACATTCAACAAACAAAAATGCAAACCTTTATTTAGAATTTAAAAACCGTCTTAACTCAGTTCGTGTGATTTCTGTTTAATTTATGCAACTGTGCACTAACTAAATAATTTTAGATAGAATCACATACAAAGTGTTCTAGATACGGCAAAATCGCTATCAGATTAAAAGTTAAGCAAGATTTTGCTGATATGCAATTCGATTTCTTTAATATTATCATGATGAATAAAATAATCTCATGCATTAAATGATACCTCCAAAACAACACTTAGGGTGTAGTTCCGTACCAACGGTACCTGATACGTAGCAAATTTGAAAACCTCTAATAGAGGTCGGTCTATTTCAAACGTATCCAATCATACATGTATCACATACGTTGACGTATACGTATCTTGGGATGTACTTATTCAAAATAATATGACCACGATTGTGACTATATCTCGATGTACTCGTTTTAGACAATAAAGGAGATAAAACTTTGAAACTTTGGGGCAACTGATTAATTTGCATTTGGTTATTTGTAATGCCTCATTTATATACCGTTTTGGTTCCGATAATGTTATTAGGTAATAGATCGGACCATGGTTGTGAATTGTTTTGCTCCAATTTAATATGTCGTACTATCTTTGAGTGAAATATCGTTGAAGATGTGTACGAGCTGAGCTAACGAGGTACATGGCACCGATTAGTGTAACAAATAAATGTCAAAAGTTCAATTATCTCGCATCTAGAACATAAGCGAATCGATTGCACCTTATTTTGAGCCACATAGAATATAGAACATGATTAAGAACAAACTTGAGATTTCTAAATGGTACGCTTCTTGATATAAGGTAATGCAAGATTTACAAAGAAAGCGAAATCAACTCCTTACCGGAAATGGGAATAACCCATATAACTGGCATGAAATTTCAAAATGAAAAGGGGAAGACAAAGTGTGACATGCCATCACAAAGGATTAGGTGCAGTAAGTGACTTATTTGGCCCTCATATCAATCTTTTTTTTTTCAAAACGAAAAGTACTTTAAGCTGATGAATAAACATGTGAGAAAGTAAAATAGAACGATTTTTGTAGAAGAGAGGCGAAAATATCAAAGATACATTCAAACTCATAAGTCGAAAATAAATATCTAAAAAGAAAAAAACCAACAGACAAACAACAGTACACAAAACTCAACATAGAAAAACTAAAGACTGAGCAACACGAACCCTACGAAAAACTTGGGGTGATCTCAGCTGCTCTGGAAGGTAAGCAGATACTGCTCCACATGTGGCACCTGTCGTGTTGCTCATGTAAGTACAAACCCGATGATAAGTCTAATTTGGTAGGTCACATTCGGGGAAAAGGGGACGGGGTTATAGCTACGACAATTGGAACGTATCCGTCGTCATCTGTGAAATAGATAATCCATGACGGTCAACCAACTCGTGATGGCGTCCGTAAAATTTACGAAGGGATGACTTCAACTTCATCACTTTGAACTCTTTGCTTAATAGCTTCCTTGTGAGCAGCAACACTCTATTAAGGAAATTATGACAGGAAATACAAGCCCCAGTATATCGTATCAACTGGGAGATATATACTTCATATGCAGGCGCTACTGAAATCGTGTTACAAAGAAGTGGAACGTTCACAATTGTTGAACTTTGCTAATGACACGCATCTGTATTATATTCATATGACCTGACCTGAATAGTACACCCATGGCCAGTCATGATTTGGATATATTTTTTTCTGTGTTACATTGAGTGATTCTTTACTGTCTTCTTACCATTGCCCTATGTCCGTGGTTTTAAACAAATCTACGTCAGTGATCAGTGATAGAACCAACATTTTCGAAAATCATCACGATCGCCAATCTTTAAAAAATGAGTTTAATTGTTTTGGGTTCCCATGAAATAAATATTCTTTATACGCAACAGTCATAGACATAAAACTAGGGATCAAATATTATGTTTTGATATATCTCCAGATACGTATACGTCAGCGTATCCGATACGAGTGGGTACGTTTTAAGTTGACCGACCTCTATTAAGAGCTCTACGACCAAAAGGATCTACGAGTCTAACATGTCTAAGGTCAACTTTGACTGAGGGAGTATGCACATTATTTTCTTAATATAATTCTTTATTAATCATTTCGTTTCTTTGGAAGAATATTGTTACATACTGTACTACAAAATAGTTTAACTCCTTTGCATTAGAATTAATACCGATACTGATATAAAAAAAACATTAATTTAAAAGATAGGTATACATTTTTTTCGAAATCGTATGAAATTAAGATTTATTCATCATCCAATATTCAAATTCGGTATAGTTGTTCCTGTTTTTACACCTTTTAGGGACAGCAGTTCTGGACTTCACTATATCCTTATACAAGATGTTGTAATTTTCTGTTTTAGACATAAATGAATGTACTGATAATTCAAATGATTGTTCTATGGGATGTGTCAATACAGAAGGCAGTTATTACTGTACATGTCAGCAAGGATACAGACTTAATAATGATGGTGTGACTTGTATAAGTAAGTACAACTAGCGGTCTACTGAATTTGTGTCAAAAGACATACTAATTGACATTGACCTCATAGACTCCATTAATGTCGGTGTTAACTGCCTGTAGTGTGAGACATGAAACATTGTTTTTGACGCAATGATGTATACGGTATATACATATAGTTTTAAACGTTCGTTTAAAAACGTCCGGTTTCTCTTGCGTCGTGAATACCCCTTCCTGTCTTAACTATGGTTGATCAGTAAATTAACATGTAAAGAAGAAGTGAGAGATTTCAAATTGACTTCAGATCAACGAATTTACCTTTATTCAACAGAAACATATTTCTTATTTTCAAGCATTTATTGATATCCACCTGAATTTCGGTTGAACGTAAGTAAGCAACATATGGCGTTATTTCTTGTTGCAATTTCCGATTGTCGATATTTGTACGGTGTTTGGTTTGCTGAATTGATATGGGTAGTACGAATTTGAGGTATCGATTTGCAGGGAACATGAAGCGGACATGGACGTCCGTAAGGGTGAATGTATAAATGTCTTTTTTGTTATGTAATCGCATTATATTAAGCCGGAAGTCGTATGAGGGAGAAAATGAGACGTTACCTATCATGTAAAGTTTTATGTAGATAAAAAAATCGACAATATGAATAATGTAAATAACACGAGGAAAAAAATCAAGTAAGGAGCATGAAATAATACTGGAGATTGCAAACAAGTGGGCGATAGAGACACCTTTGACCCCTGTTTTATATCTGCGATTAGGTTCCAATATTCAAGCTGATATAACAAACAGTTAATCTTTATCTTAAAACTTATCTTAACTACTTTGATCAAATTTCAGATTTAAGCAAGTTACATAGAAGATTTTGCAATAAAAGGCCGAAGTTCAATTCTTGAATTTGAAGCATATTATGCCTGTTTCTGAGATATTATTTATTTGCAAAATATACATTCAACTTCATATGTTTTCGAAAATTAAGATAGCAATGAAAATTTATTTAATACACTTTAGTATAATTTAATTTTGGATGTAACACGTCTTCTGATTGGCTGAAAGTTTTTTGTCTATCAGCTCATAGACATAATTTTGTCATGTGACCGTAACGTCATCAACGTTTTTTCATGATTTACTCCTTAAAAATGGAATTTTGAATTGAATTATAAGGAATGATTGTAATATTTTTTCTGTCTATTCGAAATAACCTAAAAAATGTGGTGCACACTTTTATATGATATTCAGTGTGCACCACATTTTTGATGTTATTTCTTCATAGATATAAAAAAAATATTACAGTCATTCCTTAAACAACACGACGAAAATGCTCCTTTTAACAAATCCCCCCTCCCCCTAAAAAACACAAACAAACAAAAACCCCAAAAAACGACATCACAGAAATTAACCTAACAAGACCTATTGTGAGAATGTTTATATGATTACAGATATTGATGATTGTGCGCAGTCTACCACCAATTTTTGTGATAAGGAATTTGGAATTTGTACAGACACCACACCTGGTTACACGTGTAGTTGTCAAAATGGATATACAGGTGATGGATTTACATGTTCAGGTGAGATTATACCTACAATCAAATGACCTCTCGATATGTTTCATTAGAATGAATTTCTTGGTCAGTGCAATGTATATAGTTAATGCATGATTTACTTTTCAGACATTTAAGTAACTTTTATCAACCAGTCGTAGTAATATAAGGAATTACTTATATTTTGGAAAATTCTAATAATAGGGGTTTATAAATTAGATAAGACAATAGTTTAAGGAAGTGGTAGGAATCATTCCTGATAGTGATAGTAAGTTTTTCGACTTTCTACACTACACTTCTACACAATCTTTTCAAACAAATGGTTTTTTTCTTTCTTTTTTATTAAAAAGCTGATTGCAAATTTATTTGCTGAAACTGATATAAACCTTATTCTGAATTGATAACATAAACGGTACCAATTTTACTGCCTCAGATGCACATTTCGACAATAAATGTCTCTTCAGTGATAATCGAGGCCAAAATATTTAAAAATCCAAATCTTGTTCAAAAAATAAAGAGCCTATATATCAATAGAGACAAAAAGTATTGCCAAAGCCGGGCAAGAAATCACAACTACACATGAGGGAAATATGAAATATGTGAGATTTATCGCTATTTTACAAAATTTTCCTTTCATCTTACTGACTGATAATTTCCTATCTCAGCACAGTAGAGTGATATGAAAAATTATCGCTAGAAACTAAGGGCGCACAGGCTGTTGTCAATGAAATTAACAACGTCGTCATAGGTAAAATAGCGATAAACAGATTATCATTGGTCATCTCAACTCGATTGCTTTTCTCACTTTCGCCGTACCGGCTCAAGCGAGAAAATCAATCTCGTTGAGATGACCAACGATAATCTATAAATACTTACCGGAAGAGAAATGAGATATTTAAAACTGTAAATATTCTCCTTAAAAACATATTTCTACGTTTCTGCGATAAAGTTTATCGACAGGTTGTATGTATTCCAATGGACACCACTGTCCGATGTCAGGGGAGGGTTATGCGCTCGCAAAAATGTTTAACCCTTCAACATTTTTTATGTGTGTGGTCCAAGCCAGGAAGCTGCAATTCAGGGGTTGTTGTTGGTCACTGACTATCATAAATAATTGTTTTTTTTTATTGTTTTGAACATAAATTAGACCGTTTATTTCCTTATTTGATTTTTTTTTCAATTTATCACGATGGGCCTTTTATAGCCTACTATACGGTTTGGATTTTGCTAATTATCAAAGGCCGTACGGTTACCTATAATTGCTTACATCTACGTCATTTGGTCTCTGATGAATAGTTGTTTTATTGGCAATCATCCACACCTTTCCATTTCTTATATTCTTACCAAACGCGGATCAAACACTTGTATTTCTTTTAGTACAAAATGTAGATCTTTTTTTAATGTTTTTGATAATATTGTCACGGGTTTCGGTAATGAGCGTGTGATATATATATTACCGTTCAAAATACTAAATATCCCAACCAAACTTCGTTATGGGATAGGGAAACATACGTTTTACGACAGAAGAATAATGTTATACATGCATACGATAGATAAGTTTTTGAAATTCTAATGATGTTTGCTTTTATGACAGGATTTTATACAATATAGTTAATTTATTCTTTGATGGTCTATTTCTATACTTTAACTCTAAAAATCTTCTCAAACGGGATAACTCTGCCTTTTAGTCCTTGTAGATGGGTCCTTAAGTGCGATTCGGACACAAAAGATTTTTACAGTGTTTTTCTCTTTTGTTTACCCTGGTATTTATATCTACTTAATTTTTGCTTTATCGAGAAAGTGAATACTATATACAGTATGCTCTATCAACGCCAAAAACTTTTATTTGTTGACGTCAATGTCAAATTTACTATCTACTACACCTTTTTTGTTGGCGTCTTTGCTAGATAAATTTGTATGTTTGTTTGATTTTTTTCCGTTGATTGATAGCGTTTGATTTTTTCAGTTTTTATGGATTTCCCCTTTTTGAACTTGCCTTGGAGTTCAGTATTTTATTATACTTTTTTTGTATTGTCGAGTCGACTTTAGAAACTTTCAGTTTTAACCAAATATGTAAGTCTTAAAAAAATCAATACGAGGATTTCACCCATATGTGTAAATGTTCCCTTTTCGGAGTTTTGTCTGACTAGAACTTAAAAGAATAATAATGTCTTGTTCTGAATTGCTCATGTTTTCATAATTATTGCTATAAAATGTGAGAATAACGTAAGCATATTTTGCAATTGTTAAGCTTAAGCAAGCTATGTTCTAGTTTTTAGTCTTGTCTAACTTTCATATTAAATAAAATAAACTTTCTTTGTACCTTCATTTTAGTCAATGTTCTGTAAGTTCCAATACTCTGTTCTTTTCTCTTTGTCTGTCAGAATCACAGAACCCCTAAATTTATCCCGCTTTTGTTTTTATACAGACGCTAAATAGCTATGGCAATTGCTAAATTCTACCTATCACTATAGTGTCCCCAAAGCTTCTACTACGGGTGGCGCGATATTCGCGTTAGGAAACAGCCATAATCTTGTATCTTCACCCCAACTTCTCTTTACTTCATCCAACTATGAAAATTATCTTATTTCTGTTAAACAAAGATAAACCAGGCTATTGTTTCCACTTTTCGAGCCTCAGAAAGTTTCCTTCTATTTTTACCAAATACGCACATGCGCAAAGTCAACTTTCGAATACACATCCTCAATGGGAATTGTACATCAGATGCTTGTAAACATCGACCGATAGGACAGCAATTTTGAATAAAACGAAACCTTGGCTTGCTAAATAGGTAAAAACAAAACAAGTCAATCTTACTTATATAACCTCTGAGACAATGTCATGTTTGTAATACAAAGGAATAAATCCACTCCAACCACGAGACTTCCAACTTCTTGTATGATCTTGTATGCAAATTACGATGACTGATCCACATGTTCTGAATTTGACAAAACCCATTGATTTTATAATTAAATGGCACACAGCATGAAATAACTGTAACATATGTTACTGTTAAGCTTAAAGATGTGTAAATTAGCTCACACCAGTTCTCAACAAGAAATGATTGTAACAGGATGCTGTTACGAATTCGCCCAAACGGAGCTCCCATAACTCGTCATTCCCAGGGTCACCTGACATTGGACAAAGTCCAGTAAAAACTAGTTTGGTCCAGTAAAGTGATATGTATAAGGGACGCCTGGGGACTGACCCTGTATATCATTCAAATCTTTGTGAATATATGGTTTAGGGGTGTGGATCTTGACCAATTACAAGATATTTGAACAAATTCAAATGACAGGGGTTGGGATGACCCCTCAGGTCTTACCCTGTATACCATTTAAATCATCTTGGTTTGACAAGCCAGAATATATATGGTTTAGGGGTGGAGATCTCGACCATTTACAAGATTTTAGAACATTGGGGGTGGGGGAAAATCCCATGGAGTTCTATAGTTAACCCCTCCTTCCGTTTTGCCCCTAAAAGTACCCCTTTATAAACCCCATTGCACAAACAAAACCCTGATTACACCACTAGACATGTTAGTCTAACATATTGTGAAACCCTAATTTAATCTGAATAGCGGTTTTGGTAGAACGGGTGTGGACAAGTTCAAATTTAAAAGCGGCAGAAGAAGAAGAGGAAAAAGAAAAAGAAGAAGAATGACTAGATTTGTAATTGCTAGCAATAACGGATGGCACCCTCGTCCCCCATTGCTAAGGTAACGGCAGCCATTTTCAAAATTATTGAACTATTCTATACCAAGGTGCACAGCTGCACATCGGGGTCCTCATTATAGTAAAGTTCCATCAACATTGGTCCATTAAATTCAGAGAACTAGCGCGGATAAATAGTATGGAAGAAGAATAATAAAAATTAAAAACCAATTGTTCTCTGTTCAGAGAACAATTGAAGGTCTTTCCACTGCTAACGATTTATTTTGATATGAAAATATTATATTCGGTTTAAAATGTCATTTCCAGTGTCAAATGATAGGTTATTCTTATCTGATTCCAAAAATATATGGTTTCTACACACTTTTGTAAAAATAGCTACTTCTGGTTTACACAAGGTTACTTCCGGTTTGCTTTTTCAAACTCATATGGCTTGTAACCTAAAGCACAGAGTCCTATGGCTTTATGATATATAAATATGAATTTGAAGCAAAGTTCAATATCTAGAACGTCCAATTAACCTATGACCTTGACCTAAATTTCAAGGTCATAAACCAAGGACCTCGAATCAAAAGACCTTAGGTCTTTAATATGTTTGGTTAATGAATTATATCACTTTACGAATAATTGTAGATATAAGAGGGGCGAAAACTCCCATCAAATGTTTACGTACCCTTTTAACTAAAATCTACGTGTTACGACATGTCACAACTCACAATTCTGTAAATATATGTTGTCGATATCTTATAAGATTTCTGAAAATTAGTGATAACAAGCCAAAATCAAAATTTTGAACATGATCTTGAGCTTTGACCTCGACCTGATTTTCATTTTTATGGACCAAGGACCTCAAATCAAAAGACCATAGGCCTCTATCACTAATGGTTTTCCAGTTACAAATACATTTCACTTATATCAAATACAAAAGGGGAAATAACTCTCATATGGAATCTCTATACGGCTTCGGTCAAAATTAAACGAAACATCCTTAAGATATAACGAGCAATTTGGAAAAATTAATTTGTCGGTTTCTTAAACGGTTGCGAAATTTTAGAAATAACAAGAAAAACAGTGTTCGGGGAGATAACTCTTATATGGGAAAGTATTCTGTTACGCAGTGTCAGTTTCAAAAGAGTAATTACTGTTCGATATCATATTCCAAATATCTAAGCAACATCATGCGAAACAACAAAACAGCGAAGGAAAAAAATTAGGCGGAAGAAAAAAAAAATAATCAGAACAAAATCAATAGGTCTTTCCACGGAAAAGTGGAAAGACCTAATAAGAGAAAAAAAGAAACGTAGAATAACAATATGTCACCCCAATCTTAATGCATTAAGTATAAAACATTTAAAAAAAACTTATAATGGGGCAGTATGAAAGATTTTTCCTTTTTTGAATTGTACATTTTTGTTTTATAAAATCTCCAATACCGATTTTGGGACAAAATTTCAAGGAAATTCAAGCAAATACAACGTATATGATACAAAAAAGTAAACATGCATTTAGTCTATGAGGTAGAAAATGGTTAATGCAGTTACGAAATGGTCAAGGTACGAAATGGCAGAGGTACGAAATGGTCAAGGTACGAAATGACTTGCTACCATCTGAATCACCATAAAAACTATTTCAACAAAGAAAAACAAAATGGCATATAGACACTCAATTGACAAAGTACAAAAGCAACAAAGGAAGTGTTAGAGTGTAAACGTTATGATATAAATATGTCGGTTATTTGGAAAAAAAAACAATTATCTGTTCAAATTCAGTTTACATTTTTGAATGAAAAATGTCTTTGTTAATTCTCTGTTGTTCTGTTGTTCGGTTGTTCCTTCAGCACACTGATAGTATTTAATTGTGTTCCCGCTAGCAAAAAAAGTGTTCACTAAGTGGTATCTAGATATAAGAAGATGTGGTATGAGTGCCAATGAGACAACTCTCCATCCAAGTCAAATTTTATAAAAGAAAACCATTATAGGTCACAGTACGGTCTTCTGTCTATAAATCGGTTGACGAATTTGCTGTATGTGAACTGTTCTTCTTTTTCGAAGTGACATTCCTATTTGCTCATTGTAATCTTATCCACAATCATTACATGTAATTATGTATAAAAGATTTTCAGAAGCGCAAGTAAAGTTAGTTTTTATTTCAATTATATGGCCTTGTTTAAAATGAAATTCAGAACCTTCAGATACATTTTTACAAATTCCACAATGTTGGTCGTCTTCATTCTTAACGGAAGGTTCACTGTCCATCATCTATATATATATAAATAGATTAAAGTAAAACGTGATGCTATTTTTAAGGATTGCTTCATTTCCAATTAATAATAATAATAATAATAATAATAATAATATCAATATTTAAAGAGAGTAACTCATTTGGATTAAACCAACTTCCAATAAGGCTCTCTACATACAATATCAACTACATCAATAAAACATAATTAATCTACTATTACACACATATAAGCAATAGATGTATATATACACAAATGTAACAACAACAAAAAAAAAGAAAAGAAAAAAAAAACACCTATAGTATACACTGTGGCTTAACTTATAAATTTCACACTTTTAAAAATATAATGACTTGTAAGAGTATTTGATTGCAGATATAGTTTTTGATTTTTTAATTTCACTGGATAGTGAATTCCACACTTTTGGACCACTAAAAGAAAAACTTGATTTGTATAATTCTGTTTTTGATTTAGGGACCATAAAATTATCTGATGATGAAAGTCGAGTATTGTACGATTGTTTACTATTTGTAGGCACAATAAGATTTGATACATATTTTGGTGCCAGTTCATGTTTTGATTTATACATTAATAATGACTTGTGGTAAAGTACATGTATTCTCTTGGTAACGAGAATAATTCCAGAATCCTTAAATAGTTCAATAGATGGTTTACGAATATCGTGTTCGTTTAAAATAATTCTAGCTGCCCTTTTTTGCAATTTTGTCAACTAAAAACTTGTTCCCCATACTGAACAACAGTAATCCAAATGTGGAAGAATATACGCATTGTAAAATAGAATTCGTGCATTATGATTCAAGTATTTCTTGATTCTTTTTAATAAAGCTAATGAAGAATTAACTTTTTTTGATTATATGATTTATTTGATCATACCAAGAAAGAGTGGCGTCAACAAAAATACCAAGGACATTTTTCACAGTGACTTTCATTAATATGTTGGCCATAAATGGATATATTTAATGTGTCATTGCACATGACAGACAGTTTTTGTTTTGAACCTATACACATTGTCTTAGTTTTTGACACATTAACTACCATTTTGTTTTCATCAACCTAATGTCAAATAGTTTCTAATACAACATTGAGTGCCTGACTTATATTCCTTTTGTCTTTTCCAATTACAGAAATAGTGCTATCATCAGCAAATAGATCAGTATTATGATTAGGATTACATAAAGGCAAATCATTAATAAATATTAAGAATAATATAGGACCTAAAACTGACCCTTGAGGTACACCTGCTTTTAATGTAGATACATCTGAAAAAGTATTTGAAATGGATACGCCCTGATGTCTATCAGCCAAATACGAAGTAAACCAATGAATTGAATTATTAGAACATTTATATATTTGTAATTTTTGAAGGGGCAGTTTATGATTTAGAAGATCAAAAGTTTTACACAGATCCAAAAATACTGCCCCTACTGAATTTCCTTCATCAATGGCTTTTAACCATTTATCTAACAAAGACGTCATAGCAGTTTGACAGGAATGGTTTGCCCGAAAGCCTGATTGCATGACATACAATAGATTATATTTGTTTAGAAAATTCATCAAATGAGTTTTTACGTGTCGCTCAAGGATCTTAGATAGTAATGGTAAAATTGCAATAGGTCTGTAGTTAAATACATAATTTTTGAACCTTTATTTTTAAAAACTGGAATAACTTTAGCCAGTTTGTATAACGATGGGTATACTGATTTTCTGATGCTTAAATTAAAAATATGACATAATGAAACTGAAATAATTTTGTTCCGTCCGTCATCTATATATACCAATTTTGTTTCGTCCGTCATCTATATATATATAGATGACGGACGGAACAAAATTGGAAATGAAGCAATCCTTAAAAATAACATCACGTTTTACTATTATCACATTAATGCATTTTTTCTGCACCAAATGCGCATTTTGACAATAAATGTCTCTTCAGTTATGCTCTATGCCAAAATATTTGAAAATCCAAAACTTATTAAAAAATTCAATAGCTTATAAACCAAAAACGACAAACAGTATAGATTATGCCTGGCAAGGAATCAGAGCTTTGCATGAGGTAGAAATTTTCCTTAATTTAGAACAATTTCCGAAATTTTGAAACAGCAAAAACAATTTCACGCCTAAATTTGAGTATAAAAAGCTCATGTTTTCAAAGTTATTATTTAAGTAGACTATAAGCACAAGCAATAATGCAAAATGTGAAATATGTAGAAACAAGTCATAATCGAATCCGTAACAGCTTTATCATCCATTGACTGGGTAAGATTATGTAAATGTTCGTCCGTTACGTCTGTACATGTATGTACGTTTACTATGGACATTTAAAAGCATGGGGTGACAAGAGGTTTCTCAACGCCTAAAACAAATAATTCGAAAAACATACCTCACGAGCAAACTTGTCATTTGATTAACATTGAATAATTGAACATTCTTTACAGAAATGTTAGGTAAGTTTGATATCAAAATTATTTAAAATAAAAATTATCAAGCTTTTATTGTAAAAAAAAATATATTAACAAAAATATCGAACTCGAACGTTATTTCAAAAAGGTGACGTCCATAAACCCTGACAAAAACCAAAAGCTCTAATATATCAACCAACGGAATGGCTAGAAAACTCACACATTAAACAATGGAATACCATTTTAAATCGAGGAATGGAAGAAGTAAGGTCACCACAATCATCTAAGCGACCATTTGCATTGCAGCGAAAAATCTGATGTTTGTTAATTATTTTGTGATATTTTAGTTTTACGAGTTGTTTCGCGACTTTTGGACCTTATATAATCAAATATTTATCTTTTCACAGATTTAAACGAGTGTTCACAAACAGATAGGGGGAATTGTACACAAGGTTGCTTGAATAACATTGGCAGCTTTATTTGTTTTTGTGGTAATGGTTACACATTAGAAAATGATGGAAAAACATGCAAAAGTAAGTATTTACTCATTGCTATGAACTGTATTGTTTGATTAATATTTCGAAATAATTCCTCCCTTGTCTTGCTAATTTTGATATGGATGGGTATTATATTTAAGAAATAATTCCTTCATGTCATGCTCTATACTCATTTTAACATGGGTAGGCATTATATTTGTCGATATTTTACACTAAGCGTCAGCGAGGTGTAAAATATGGTCAAATTTAATGCCTACCAATGTTAAAATCAGCATAAATCATGACATGAAGAAATTATTCCGATTCTAATAGGACAAATACGGTATTTTTATAGGTCGAAGCGTACGAAAATACTTTAAAAATGTTAGGCTGTTCCCGTTTCCTCCCCATGACGTATATACATTACATTTTCATATCTAATAAGTTTAAAAACTAATACCAGGGTAAATATATGTTGTTTGAATAAAAATATATAATTCAATTCAATATTTATTGGAAAGAGCACAATAGAGGCATGTTCCGAATACAGACAATAATAATATTAAAACAACATATAAATGAAATATAGATGCATGTAACAGCAAGTCATAAGTAAATTCTATGGATACCATAACATTCTAAGTATATTCTATGAATACCATTACATTCTAAACTCATATCAATACCATACACATATACATCACGATTATTCTAAATTTTCATAATTTTACTTAAAACACACAATCACCTATATAAGATATATATGTATATGCACAAACTACTATAAAGGATTATTATCTGATGAAACAGTATGGTGGTCTCTCAAATCAAGAGCTTCTTCAATATACATACAAAGATAATAAAGTTTATGTAAGCATCTAATATATATATTTTTTATTAGGATAAAGTGAAACTAACGGGAATGTAAACATTAGGTTTGAGCGCATGTGTCAAACGTAGTTTGTGCTAATTAGAACATGGCTTTGTTTAAAAAGCGTAATAAGGACGTCATATTAGAATTGTAAATATCTTTTACAAATTTAATGCGTACCCATGTTAAAATAAGCAAATGCCTTAAACAAAACTCGTCAAAGATACCTGGTTATAAATGGTTACGGAAGATTTGCATAATTATAAATGTAACTTCAGACCATATATATGTTAAAGGGGCATTAGCTACGAGATATAATAAAAAATAAAATATGATATTTCTTTTTCAATCATTAATGAAAGTGAAATAGTGAAATAACAATTCGCTTCTAGCAGCCAGTTTGGTTCATTTTTGGCAAAATAACCTAAAAAAATTGCTGATGAATTTTTTACCTGCAAATGAATTATTCCACCTCACTGAATCCGTATTCATATGACCTTCAATTTAACCCTTTCGCTGGAGATGGGTTACGCATGTATTCAGCTGTTAAAAGGAAAAGAATGTCAATATTGAAAGTGAAACAAGGATGAACCATTTGGGTGACCGATTTGATCCACAACAAAATCATTCTTATACAGGTAAAAACGATGATAAACATACTTTAAACTACAATATGAAATCAAACACACCAAGAAAAATCCAATTGCACGTGGTCACTATCTATTTATATTTATATTTATGTTTATGTAAAATCAATATTTTTTTAAAAGAAAAAATGAATGTTGATAAAAAAAATCAAAGGAAGTTTTTGAAAAAAAGCCACAATACATTCATTAATAAAAAAAAAGTAAGCATCTGATTTTGAAACGATTGTAATTTTACAATTTATTGATGAAGTCATTATTAAAAATTATACAATTTTAGAACAGCTGATTTATATAACATTGTGTGATTTTTAAAATGAAGGAATTTTAGATGTATAAGTATTAAATTATACCTGAAGCAGAAGAAATCTAAATTTTTGAATAATTTATCCTTTTTTGTTATCACAAAATTATCTCATTGCTATTTCATTCCATCTGTTGAAATGACCATTAAATATGATTTAAATTCCTTTTACTAACCATGTTAACACTTAAAGTGAGCTCATATTAAGGTTTGATTATTACAATGGGAGGGGCTAATTTTGTGATGTCACTCGAATTAAGGTTTGAATATGTTTAACATTGGTCAGACAACACTTGATCATGTTTTATGAACATTTAAAACCCTCGGCTACGCCTTTGGCTTTAAATATTCATAAAACATTACCAAGTATTGTCTAAAAGAGGGACGAAAGATACCAGAGGGACAGTCAAACTTATAGATCGAAAACAAAATGACAACGCCGTGGCCAAAAATAAAAAGACAAACAGACAAATAATAGTACAGATGACACAACATAGAAAACTAAAGACTAAGCAACACGAACCCCACCAAAAACTGGGGGTGATCTCAGGTGCTCCGGAAGGGTAAGCAGATCCTGCTCCACATGTGGCACCCGTCGTACCTATACGGAAACCACCTCGACGGTAACACGTTCATCCTTTGGGCACTTACTAGTAATATTTTCTGTAGATACTGTTTTTAATATACTTTTGTATGTTTTTTTGAAGTCAGCTTAGAATCTGTATTTTGACTGTTAGTCTTTAAAGCCGGATTAACCCACGGTTGTAAATAGTTAAGACTCATCAGTGGCGCTCGAATCAACAAGTTTTGAAGGCAAAATCAAACACGAAATGACGAAGAATTATTTCGATTGTATTAGGAAAATTCAGAACATTTTTTCGTTCAAAGCGAACTTGTAACTCGAAAGACATTTTGATTGGAAGCAAAGAAAGTTCTGGAAAAACAACAAATTACGAATTAAGGTAGATGTCTTAATGTTAAACGATAGATTTTTCTTAAACTTCTGTAAAAGAATTCTTGGTCAATGTACTTTCGAAATTTCAATATAAAAACTGGGGTCACGGACCATGTTTTTTCGTTAAAACATTGAAATAAACGATCATTTACGAAATCGCAGTTATTTTATAAGGGTTATATAGGGGAACATATTTCTTTCTTATTGAGAAAACATTAAAAGATAGAATTGGTTAAAATTCAATGAGAGACTTGTGTTTCCAAAAATAATTCCGAAATATTAAATAAAAATAGGGGATCACGGGTCTTATTTTCATGAAAAATAAAAAAAATCACTAATTGTCCTATCAAATTCAATATAATTATCTGCCCTTGATTTTTAAAGGATTTTTCTGAAAATTTTAAATTCTTAACGACATTAAATTGTTTGATGGATTTAAATTCTTTAAATTTCAATTTTTAGATGTTTCTGTTGTATATTGTCTGATACTTGGTAAAATATTAAAAAAAAACTGTTTTTGCAATATGACCAGAAGGAATGCTCAGAAAAAGACACTCGATCTAACTTAAACGTGTACAAATATAAATAGAAGTACATTATTAAGGATTTTATTGAATTTTATGACGAGCCACTCCCAAAGAAATGTCCATTTTGATTTCCAGCGTCTTCAAAAAATAATTGACGTTGCAGTTTCAATTGTGACGTCAATCACGGGAACCCAATGTTTGATTGAAATAAAAACATTGGTTTGTTTACAAAGCGAAAGAAGGGAGTCTTATAAGAATAATAGTTATTGAACCTTTCAAAGCATAATGTGTTGAATGTATCATAATATACCACATTAAACTTTCTTGCAAAAAATAAGAAAGAAAAGAATTGATTAAACATTATTTCACGTTTTTAAGTTAAGGGCATACGATACAGTTTCGATCCCACTGTAATGTTTTTACAAAAATTTGCATACAAGCTATTTTTAACCTGGTCAATTCAAATATGTAATAAAAAACATACCTTCATGTGCTATATTTAGAGATAAATGTGGTCGAAATTTTAAACATTTACCTAAAAGTTCGGTTTCTTGGACATTTCTATCTTTTTGATAGGCATATTAACTTTTTTGTTTCAAAAGACAAACACATGCGGATTTTTGTAAAACTATTTATAATATCTTCTTTACAAAAGTATCCTCTTAATTTGTGTAACTTTTCTTTGAAAATAATTCATTTTTATTAAATTTTCAAGATTTTAGAAAAAAAGAAGGAATTTTTGGCTGTATATTTATATAATTTAAAAAAAAATCATCGATCATTCATAAAATTGGAAGAAATAATCTTCATATAGTATCAAGTCAAATGTCATTTTAAAAAAGAGGGGTTCATGTACCCGTTTTCAGGCTAATGATTAAAATCACTCGAAAAAAGCATCTTTTCCCGATATGTCGCAGTTTGACGTCGCGAAAAATAACATTTTACGTTAGCAACGTCATTACTTCCCCTTTAACTCTATCGTATGCCCTTATTTTTGTGCACTTCCAAAATATTGGCCACAAGTTTGGTAAGTTATAAATAAATTGTCATCTGATTATCAATTGATTAATGCAACCACTTTAAACTATGGATACAAATTACAAAATGTAAAAACAATATTATACAACTTTTACAAAAGGTCAGATGTTTTATACTTTCTTCCGAATCATACTTTATATAATTTAATTCTTCAAACCTAATGCAACATATTACTAAAATGAAGTCTAGATATAAACACAGAAAGTGCTCTTAATCGAATAAGACTTTTATATGATGAAGACATAATATTTCGACCAGTTTAATTGAGGTCTGGAGCTGGAATGTCAGTATATCCTATTAGTCCTTTGTTAAATTGTGTTGATCATTGTCATTTTGCTTAGTTTCTACAGTTACCTATTCTTACATCGGACTCGGACTTCTGAGTGTTACTGTGCCTTTTTATGTGTGTTTGTTCCACATGGGTTAGAGGTAAAGGGGAAGGGTTGAGATCTCACAAAACATGTTTTACCCCTCCGCATTAATGCACCTGTCCCAAGTCAGGTATCTCTAGCCTTTGTTAGTCATATGTGTGCTTTTTTAAATTTTGATTCATTTATATGTTTCGGAGTTTAGTGTGGCGTCCATTTCGTTGAACTACTATACGTTATTGTTTAGGGGCCAACCGAAGCCCGCCTTCGTGTGCGGGATTTTTCTCGCTGCGTTGAAAACCCATTAGTGCCTTGTGATGTTTTCTGCTCTTTGATCGGTTTGGTGTCTC